TGGCGAGCGTGGGCGCCGTGAAGAGAGCTCTGAGCGAGGAGGAGTCGTTGAGCTTCTCCGGGGAAAGGTTGATCGTGTTGGTGAGCTCTCCGAAGACGGGCCTTCTTCCCTTCGTGGGCGTGAGGGGGATGCACAGCTCTGCGGGCGGCCGGATGGGCGTTAGGTGCGCGGGGTTCATTAGCATTGTTTATTATTATTATGATTATTATTATTGTTATTTTTATTATTATTGTTGTTATTATTATTACCATTATTATTTTCATTGTTGTTGTTGGTATCATTATCATTATTATTATTATTATTATCATTATTATTATCATTATTATTATCATCTTCATCACTACTACTATCATTATTGTCTAACCATTGTTAGTTGTTATCATCATCACCTTCATTGTTGTTCTTATCAGCATTATTGTTGTTGGTATCATTATCATTATTGCCATTATTATCTTTATTGTTATTGTTGGTATCATTATCATTATTATTATTATTATTATTATCATTATTATTACTATTATCATTATTATTATCATCTTCATCACTACTACTATCATTATTATCATTATTATTGTCTAACCACTGTTAGTTGTTATCATCATCACCTTCATTGTTGTTCTTATCAGCATTATTAGCTTTATCATAATTATCTCTGTTATCAGTAGCGTTGTTGTCATTACCATTATTGAAACCATTTGCCATCTTAATTATCATTGCTGTCATTATCATTATTACTATTACAATTGCAAATGCTCTCTTTTTACCATTATAATTTCCAATTCCTTAACGTTATGATGATTATCATTGCTATTATTACAGTCATCATTATCATCATTTTGGGGACACTTCGTTACTTTATTCACTGAATTAAAAAAAAACTGACTAGCATCAACTCAGCAAATGTGAAATAGTTACACAATGAATACAAAACACACTATAACCCCTCTTAACATGTGACCCTCCTCTTTAACCCCTTTTCATTTTTTACCTCTGACCCCTCTTAATACTTAACCCCTGACCTCTATTAGTTTTTGACCCCTGACCCCTTTTTCGTTCTTGACTCCTCACCCCTTTTCACATTTGACCCCTGACCCCTTTTTCGTTCTTGTCGCCTCACCCCTTTTCACATTTGACCCCTGACCCCCGGCTCGTGACCTTACCTTCCTCTTGGTCGGAGCTGAACACAGCGTTGGCGGCGAAGGTGAGGATGTCCATTGTTCTAGCTCAGCATCACCTGAGGGAGGAAGGAAGAGGGAGGGAAGGAGGGTAGAGGGAGGGAGGGGCGGAGGAGGGAAGGAGGATTGAGTGAAGGAGGGAGGGAGGGAAGAAGAGATATATCGATTTAATTATATGCTGTTATGGTTAGCGTGGTGTTGGTAGAAGTGTTGATAGTGATGGTTATGGTAGTGATGATAATGAATGAAAGTCATGGTAATTGTGGTACTGATTAATAATAATAAATAACTAATAATTTATAAACAACTCCCTGTCTACGAAAAAATGATCTATAATGTAATAATATCATTTTTTTTTAATCAATGGGAATAATGCCATACATATTTTAAACACCAGCTGTATTTCATCCGGCAATGAAGTGAGTGAGAGACAGACAGACAGACAGACAGACAGATAGACAGAAAGAGAGGCAGAGAGAGAGAGAAGGAGAGAGAGAGTGGGGGGGGGGAGAAAGCGAGCGAGAGAGGGGAGGGAGAGGGAGAGCGAGAGAAAGGAAGAGAGAGTGGGGAGAGAGAGAGAGAGAGAGAGAGAGAGAGAGAGAGAGAGAGAGAGAGAGAGAGAGAGAGAGAGAGAGAGAGAGAGAGAGAGAGAGAGAGAGAGATGAAAAAGGGAGAAAATATGAGAAAGATAGATGACACAGAAAGATGCGTAGATAGATAGACTGATAGAGAGTGAAGAGGGTAGACAGATACATAGGTAAATAGATAGATAGACAGATGGGCGAATAAATGAATAGAGAGTGAGGCCTATTCCCGCAAAAAAATAATAAATAAATAAATAAAAAAATAGATAAATAAATAAACTTATGAACCGACAGGCATAAAAAGAGACCACAGAGAATTAAGGGAAAACAAGGGTAAACAGAAGAAAAGACAAATAGATAAGCAGACGGAGATATGCAAATAGATAAACAGAAAAGCAAAGATACAGGTAAAGGAATAACCAGGCAGATAACAACCAGAAAGGTAAACAGCCTGAGGGAATAGATAGGCAGGGAGAGAGCCAAACGGAATGGAGAGATAGGGAGAAACTGAGAAGGGGGGGGGGGGGGGGGGAGAAGTAGACGAAGGGAGAACACGGGATGCAGGGAGGGAGGGGGTGAGGGATGGTGAGAGAGAGAGGGGGGGGGTAGAAGAGGGGAGAGGTAGGGAGGTAGGGAGGGAGGGAGGCGGAACGAGAGAGAGAGAGGGGGGGAGGGGAAGAGGGAGAGGGAGAGGGAGAAAGAGAGGGGAGGAGGGAGAGGGAGGGAGGGAGGGAGGGAGGGAGGGAGAGAAAGAAAGAAAGAAAGAGAGAGAGAGGGGGGGTTAGAAAGGAAGGAAGGAAGGAAGGGAGGGGGAAGGAGGGAGGGAGGGAGGGAGGGAGGGAGGGAGGGAGGGAGGGAGGGAGGGAGGGAGGGAGGGAGAGAGAGAGAGAGAGAGAGAGAGAGAGAGAGAGAGAGAGTGAGAGTGAGTGAGAGAGAGAGAGAGAGAGAGGGGGGGGCGAGAGATAGGAAGAAAGGAAGGAAGGGATGAAAGGAGAGAGTGAGAGAGTGAGAGAGTGAGAGAGAGAGAGAGAGAGAGAGAGAGAGAGAGAGAGAGAGAGAGAGAGAGAGAGAGAGAGAGAGAGAGAGAGAGAGAGAAGAGGGAGAGAAAGAGAGAGGGAAAGAAAGAGAGAGGGAAAGAAAGAGAGAGGGAGAGAAAGAGAGAAAGTGAGAGAGAGAGGAATCAGCCAAGAAAAAGAAAGAGAAACAGACGGGAGAACATCGAGAGAAATCCCCACTCATCAAAACCTCCTGAAACCTGGAAATCGATATCGGAATGCCCAGCCCAAACTGCCCCCGGGCGCTGTAGACCTAAAGTGATAGGCCTTCATTGCCTTCACCTTTCTTTTCATTTTCTTTTTTTTTTCTCCTAATGACCCTCATTTACATAAAAACGTTAGAGATGCATAAAAAGCCATCGACTTCATTTCCCGTTCCTCGTCATAGAAAGTTTCAAAGGAACGCCCATTTGACGGAAAATGAAAATAAATCTATTCAACGCAGCTTCGTTTCCGTCGTCAGCTGATCCCCCAAAAACCTTATCTGTAAAAGCCGGTTTGTTTCTTCAATTTTTTTCTTCATCTAATTAAAAAAGGAAAAACATTTAGGAAGCTATGGGAATAAATTTAGAATATATTTACTCTTAGTTTAATTACAAGATTGATTTTGAAGGAATTATTAGCATCTTTGAAACTTTTTTTTTTGAAAATGTGATACGTGGAAACTCCACTAAAAAAAAAATCTGGCGCGAAACTTATATAATTTAATGTATTTTGACTTTGGACTTCATTTTAAAATATTTTTTTCTGGTTTCGATACGTAATTATAAAGAATTTCGTTTTAATTCAATTCTGCGCGATATATATGTATGATTTCGATACGAATTGTTTGATTTAACTATCCCATTTTTCTGTCGATTTTTTAAAGAGAAATTAGTGCAGAAATTTTATATAGATGGAAGACATAAACCAATCAACAAAGAAGAAGAAAAAATATATATTAAATCCACGAAAAAAAATAGAAAATTAGGAACCAAATACTTCGAAATAATTTTTTTTTTCAAATTTTTCAAAAGTGAACATTCTGAAAACTTACCTTCCAAGTAGACAGTTATTACAGGTTTCTTCTTAGACTTTCCTTTCGAACTCCCGAAAGACGCAAGAAAAAAACAAACTCACTCGAACCACAAATAATAAACGAAAATAAGTCGACAGCCCGACAGCCGTTACTTCGCCATCCTCATCTCTTCTTCCACTTATCACCTAAATTCCTCTTCTCGGCCACTTTATCACTTCTCACTCATGTTCTGTGATCACGAAGCATCGCCCTCGACCTCGTAGTATCAACCCCGGCAGAGAAACGAGAAAGAAAAACGCGAAAAGTGGATCGCATCCCCTTCCTTCGG